TCACTGATGGGAATAAAATAAGGATATAAAACGATGTTGTTCTGATATCTGGAGTTTTTTTTACCAAAAATTCAGATTTTTTCTCATTCATTAATTTGCCCCCAATGAACGATGTTGTTCCTCATTCATTTATGCATTCTCCTTTTTGCCCCCAATAAGTCGCTAACGTCATATCAAGACCATACGACGTACGAGATCAATTTGAAAGTGGCCATGAATATTTCTTGGACATTTAATTTCTTGTCTATTGTGCCTTTATATTAAGTATAAGGATAAGAATAATTTGCACATTATAAATTAAAAATCATATATTATATATTAAATATGTACGTATATATATTTTTTTATTATAATTTATAATTTAGAATGTGAATTATTTTTATAATACAATAAGAGTATGACGGATACACAATACAAACCATATATGGAGTCGTATTTCAAAACTTTCGTCTGCCTAAGTCCTTGGATAGAAGTGATCATTCATACAGACATGACCCTTAAGTGGTGAAAAAATTTGATTTGCTGTTTTCTGGAAATCGAAGGACCGATCCAGTTTTTTAAGGTGTATGTTTCATGTTACAAGATATGTTTGGTATTAATTGGCTAGCTAGGATATTATATCTATATATAGTCCAATAAAAAATCCAAAAAATAACACTAATAAAGAAACCAAAAACTTCGTGGTATATATATATATATATATATATATATATATATATATATCTCACAAGTACTTGAGATCGCTTAATTGACCTATTTGGACAAAATATATAAAATCTCATGAATCACTTAGAGGTGAAAACAGATTACTACATTTTCGAATATGCTCGTTAGCTAACAAGGGCATTCCAACAGGAGTCAAAGATATGTTACTTCTTTCCTAAGATGGTATTGCCCATTAGATAGATTAATTTGTGTAACTGTGAGAATAAAAGGGAAGAAAAAAGAGTCAAACCACGTATCTGACTTATGTTACTTTTGTCTAGCTAACTGGTCCTGCTAGTGGTGTTGGTGTCTCTATAGAAGAGCCTAAGCAATTCAATAATAGTGTTATACAAATTGAATAACTTTCTACCCGATGTGAGAGCTTACCTAATAAGGAAAGTCCCCATTGTCAAAGTGAGAAGAATATTGTCTTTAACCACAAGACGACGGTTAATTTAATGGAGGTAAAGTCAAGTAAAACAAAAATGCAAAAAAAAAACAATAAATTAAATCGAGGAATTATCATACTTGTTGTAGTAGAAAGAAGAACAAAATGAATTTGTTGTACATCTGCTAGTCTTTATATTAAGAAATTAACGATACCATCTGATACTCTCTCCGTCCTACAAAAATAGTCCACATTGAGTTTTAACTTTTGTACTGTTTTTAATACAAATTTGAAAACTCAATATGAACTATTTTTTGTGGCGGAGGTAATATTATATAAGACATCTCTATTGTCTAGAATAGAAAACAGAACCAACAAAAAGTTCATATCAATCAACAAAAAAATTTTACACCTGATCGACTTCAAAAAGACAAGGCTACAAAGGAATTTGAATTCGCGTACTAAATTTTTTGAACAACGTCTGTTACTTTAATTAAGCTAATGAATTTACGAATCTGATGGGAAGGGACTTTTTTAATTTTCAAAAGTTATGGGCAAGCTCATACTATCACTTTTTTTTTAATGGTTATTCGTTTTACGTCTAACCTCGGGACTACACATTTTAACACTATTACATCGTAAACTTATGGATTAATCTATGTCGTATCTTCCTCAAATAATTCACCTCCAAACTACCATTTACACCGACTAATATATAAATGCAGTTATAATATAGAGCTCCTAGATACACCTTGCAGTTTGAAAGTCACGCGCCCAAAAAAATGGTAAAAAAAAAAAAAAAAATTTTCAAATTTTTAATTTTCTAATATCTCTCCTAATTTTCAGCCATCATTAATTATATCCATCCAACTTTCTATTCAAATCCAAAGATATCTCAAACTAAAAAAAATCTAAAAAAACAAAATATTTTCTACAGCGATTTGACATCAAAACCTCTCGTCGGAGGTATTTTAAGACAAAATCCGATTGTGTATCAAATCCCGTGAGTTTGGTTACAATATACGCTGCTGAATGTGAGAACTACGGTAAGATTTGAGATTATTCATCTGTTTTGTGTTTTGTCCAGTGAATTTTTGAAAAGATTAATTATTCTATGTGTTGTTCATCAGTTTAATAGATCTGTTTTGTGTTTTGTCCGGTGGTAAAGATTTGAGATTATTCCTGTCGATTAGTTTTGTTGATCGATATGTGGTTGATTTTTTGAAAAGATTAATAGATCTAGGTGCTCTTCATCAGTTTAATATCATTATTCATGTTTAAAATATGTTGGTTTGTCGATGTTCTAGTCTTGTTCATCGCTTTGTGGTTGATTTCAGAAAATATTCATAGATCTGACATTATTCATCATCTCGGTATCATTATTCAACATCAATGTGTGGTAGTTTTAGTCATGTTTTCTTTTTCTGTGAAATGTTTATTCATCATTTATTATCGATTAATGATGTTAGTTCATCAATTTCTTAGTTTTGTTTATCGATCTGTGATTGATTTTGGAAAACATTAATAGATCTAGGCTTTGTTCATCAGTTTAATATGATTATTCATCTTTAAAACATATTAGTTCATCGATGTTTTAGTCTTGTTCATCGATTTGTGGTTGATTTTGGAAATCGGATTTTGACATCATTATCTATTTCTGAGGGTTATTCATCATCTCGATATCATTATTCATCATCAATTTTGGATTATTTTAGTCATGTTTTCTTCTTCTGTGAAATATTTATTCATCATCTCTTTCTAGTTATTCATTATTTTTGCTTAGTTATTTATTCTAATTGTGATACAAACTACAAGTTATGTTGTTCATCATGTAATATGTGATTATATACAATTGTAAATATGTGTCATTAATCCTGTAAAATTGTGTTATTCATCCTGTCAATATATGTCATTCATCGTTTGAATATGTGTTATTCATTCCGTAGATATGTGTATTCATCATACAAATATATGTCATTCATCACCAGTTATGTTGTTATTATCATCACCAGATATGTGTATTCATCATACAAATATATATGTCATTCATCATATATGTCAATATATGTCATTCATCGTTTGAACATGTGTTATTCATTCTGTAGATATGTGTATTCATCATGTAGTATCTACCGTACACGATTATTATCAACTGAATTCGATTTATGTAATTTTAATGTTTATTCATCATATTTAAAATGATTATTCATCTTCAATAGTATTGTTATTGATGATTAATAGAGTTTTGATTGAATGTGAAATCTCATTTATTGTAATGTTGTTTTTGTTTGATCAATGACAAAGAAATGCTCATAAAAAAGAACTCGATCGGTCGGGAATCAAATATTTGGCAGAGTTGTTGAAATCAAACAATCAAGAAATAGTTGTTGAGCATCGGCGAATCATTCAAGACCGTATATGTTAAACACAATGACTAGTGTTTTTAATAATGTAAAATAGTATTATTCATCTTGTAAATATATGTAATTCATCGTTTAAACATCTGTTATTTATTCCATAGATATGTGTATTCATCATGCAAATATATATCTACTCTTCATTTTATTATTGTTATTCATATTGGATGGGATCATTATTCATCAACATTTGCTTCGTTATTCATCTTTGTAGATTCAAAATTTCAAATTTATTTATCCATAACTTTGTCACTATAAGAACATCATTATTCATCTACAATATTTATCATTATTCATCGATAAGAATACTATTATTCATCCGAACAAACATCGTTATCGATTAAAATCTTAGACATTTGACGCTTAATTCTCCAGATTTTATTTATAATCAATTCAAATTTTTTGCTCCAATTGATTCTTCGGATTTATAAGTCTCGATAATGAATCATATTCAATTTTACGCAAATAAAATTCATAGCTATAAAAAAAATTTCTCATAAAATAAAATAATATAAAAGATAACATGATAAGCAAAAAATAAAACGGTTTAAAATTAAATGTATGAGAAAAAAATGGGATGAGAATTGGAGCATTTAATGCGCGTATAACTGAAAATTAGGAAAAAAATAAACGAACTTGTGTAGAAGGAAAGTGTATTACCAATGGCCATGAGATACAGCTTGCAAAGTATACCTAAGTGCTTGTTATTATTTGCTATATAAATGAAATCCTTCATTTTATGTTGATGTATTAATTAATCCATTACTTAAATATGTAAGCATTAATTGGTCAAATATTTACCGATGAAATATTATGAGTTTCAAAAACGAGTACGGTCCATAGTTTCTATATATGATCTCATTTAAATCTTCGATATTGATGACTTGAAAGGCCGAAACAAGCTTAAAATTGAAAAGAAACAAGTGACGAACTAAACTTTAGCTTTGTCCTAATTAATTAATCTAACAATTGAAAATTTTCTTCTATTTTCAATAAAATGTACATTCTCATTTTTACAAAAGCAAAGGACACTATAAAAAAATTTTAAAAAAAATGTAAACAACGAATCCTTAGAAAATGCGTGAACATTATCAATCTTCAAGAATATGTCAAGAAATTTCATCATTTACATTTATTATTGTTCAATAATATATAGTTGCTGCTCCATGTTAAAGGATAGTAAGTAGCAAACCAAAACTGTCATAAAAGATCTCATTTCATCAATCTGATAAATTCTCATCAAAAACTATAATTATTAGTCGTAACAATATAGACAATATATAATTCAAATTTATATCATCCTAATATAGTATTTCCCAATTCCAAATTAGGACAAATTTAAAAATTTTAACTAATAAGGAAGTTTATCATCGTTCTTATCTTCTTCTACCATAAACGTCTTCAACCAAATGCAATCCAACGTTTGACTTACTCCCTATAAATAACCCACGGTGTTTTCAATTCGTTTCTCACACTTGTTCAAAAACCCTTTCTTTTTGTTTTCCATCAAAAACCCTATCTATAGCTCCCTCCCTACAAACTCTTGATTTGCTAGCCATCATGAACAATAACATTCAGAGAGACAACCTAACCATTGAGGGTAACAACATCGGTACTCTAGGGTTTCGTTGTTTTTACTGTTCGCAAAAATATCTAAGTAGCCACGCTCTCGCAGGGCATCAAAAAGCTCATGTGAGGGATCCCAAATGGGTGAAAGACACCCGCCATGAACGGGTGTTCATCCCTTTATCCGAAAACCATCATTATGCTTGCAAAAAAAGGGTCATCCCGACAGATGTCCCCGAGAGAGCCCCGCCAAACCCGAATATTGGTATGCCTTGGATCCCAACATTTGTGCGGTTTTATGCACCCTATACCAGGATGATTCCTGCTCCAAATTATCGTCCTTTGGGACAAATTTACCTTCCACATAGAACCGCGCAGATCACATATCCGGGTTGCCCTCCGGGTTTTAATCCGTCGTATCGTGGAGTTCCGGATTCATCCTCTACCGCCAACAGCGCGGACTTTATGAATAAGTACATGAGGAAAGGAACAGGGTTTGTGATTAACCGCCAACCAGTTCAAGTGAAGCGAAAATTTGAAGAAATTGATTTGGAGCTTCGGCTTTGATTGGTTTTTTAGTGATTAATTTAATATAAGCGAAATTCACTGCTGAATTATTACGCATCTTTTCGTTGGGACCAAATTTATTGCTTTTAGATTTTGTACCATTTATTCTTTTAATTTCTTTTCTTTTCAAACTCTAGGAATGAGAGTTTTTTTTTGTAGTTGTTATTTCAAATAGTTGAAATCTTGTCCCAACAAAAATGTTCGAGAATTTTATGGAATGTTTTATGGTTTTTTAATATTTTTGGCTGTCTCGATAAGGTTGCCATTCTTGCTTGTCGTTTATTTTAATTTGTTTTCTTATAGACACCATTTTTACATTTATTATTTTAATTATAGATATACGTTGAAAATAAGATAATTAAATTTTATAAAAAAATAATAAAATAAAGTCATTCGAAAGGCGGAAAACGGCTATAAAATTATAATTTGAAATAAGAAACATAAATTGAGTTGGCTTTCAATTATAGCGCGTGAAAAGTTCTATATGCAACATTCATGCAATCTTACAGTTTCAAAATTTTAGGCGCTGCTTAAAGACAGTCAAAATCGACGTCTCCTGTTAATAAGTAATAGGTCAAAGTTACTAGTTTTGCCAAATTTCTAGCAAGCTGTTATCTAATTTTGTGGCTTAAATTGTTAAAAAAACAATCCGTGTAATTAATAAGACGTCATAAAAATAGCTAGTGTCACTGCGAACTCAAATTAATTAATATCATGTCATTCAATATCATCTCTTAATACAATTATAATATACAGCACCTAGGAGCACATTGCAATGTGTTCCTAAGGTGGCATTCACGCGAACGAAAATAGTGCATTTCCAAATATTTAGGAAAATATCATTTATGTGTACAACACGCGCCTTATATATAGTAAAATTATTAAACAGTTTCAACCCATTTTCATCCATTTTTCTCTCTAATTGAAGATCCTATTTTTTCTCTCGTTATTCCAAACCTCCCCGCAACCACCTCTATGCAAATTTTTGATTCACCGATTCAGATCTTCAAAACGATGATTCTCGAAATTCAGACCTCTGGCGATACAAAAACAAAAAGCTCCGGCGGCGGTTCTTTCGATAAAGAACTCATATTTTGCATTAAACCAGTGATTTAATTTGGTTGGCAGACGATGAAAATTCCGGTAAATTACGGTTAAATTCATCGTGTATTCATCAATTTTTCTTGATTTTTTCATTTATGATGTTTAAATATTTATATTTGATCCAAAACTTTTATGCAGAAATCAACGATCGTTTATTCTTATTCGTATTCTGATCCATTTATGAGGTAAAACTACTGGTCTCTTAAATAAATGATTTTTTTAAAATGGGTTATGTAGATCTAAGATTATTCGCCCGATTATTGATGTTGGTTCATCAATTTAATAGTTTTGTTCAACGAAATTTGGTTTATTTGGGAAGAGATTAATAGATTTAGGAATTGTTCATCAGTTTTCTATCGTTATTCATCATCTATATAATGTTTCTTCATCATTTTTTTAGTCTTGTTCATCTTTTTATGGTTGATTTGATAAATTCTTAGTAGATCTGACAGTATTTCTCATTTAGGTATCGTTAATCATCAAATCGATGTCATTATTCATCCTATATTTGTGGTCAGCCGCATATTTGGATTCCGTAAATCTAAGAGTAATCTCTCAATTACTGATGTTCGTTCATCAAGTTATCAGTTTTGTTCATTGAAATGATGCTCATTTTGTAAAAGATAAAGAGTTCTATGCATTGTTCATCAGTTTTCTATAATACTTTATCAATGTTTTAGAATTTTTAATCTTTTTTATGGTTACTTCGATAAATTATTTCTATATACTGAAATTATTCATCATATCGTAGTCAATATTCATCATAGCGATAACATGATTCATCAAATATTTGTTGTTTTTTTTTTATATTTGCCTCATCTGCGAATATATTATTCATCATCAGGTATTCATTAGATCGACTTATTTATTCATTGCAATTGTGATATTCATTAGATCGACTTATTTATTCATTGCCATTGTGATATTCATTAGATCGACTTATTTATTCATTAGTAAAGGATTGTTATTCATTGTCTCTAATTTTATTCATCATCTATGTACAATTATTCATTAATTTATTAGCAGTTATTCATTAGTAAAGGGTTATTATTCTATGCACGATTGTAAATGTGTCAATAATCCTGTAGAATTGTGATATTCATCCTGTTAATATATGTCATTCATCATGTGAACATGTGTTATTCATTCCATATATATGTGTATTCATCATGCAAAGATATGTCATTCATCACCAATGATGTTATTATTCATCATTTAATATGCACATGTGCACGATTGCTATATTCGATTCATGTAATGTTAATGCTTATTCATCATTTTCAAAATGATTCTTCATCTTCAATAGCATTGTTATTGATGATTAACAGAGTTTTGATTGAATGTCAAATCTCATTTATTATAATGTTCTTGTTGTTTTATCAACAGCAAAGAAATGCTCATCAAGATGAAGTCGATCGGTCGGGAATAATATATTTTTATCAGAGTTGCTGAAATCAATCAATCAATATAAACAAATCAAACATCGACGAATCTTTCAAGACCTTATATCTTAAAAATAGTGACTAGTGTTTTTGTTCATTTTTTGTCTAGTATAACCCATAATTAGAAGTTTGTTAGTTTAGTTATTTACATTATCCCATTGTAATATATACTCTTGTTATCAAAGTTCTTCATTTACTAATGTGTATTATGCATTCATTAAAGTATAATTATTCATCTTATAAAACTATAGCTATTTTTTAATATAATATTGTTATTTATTTAAGATGAGATTATTATTCATCAAGTTTGTATTGTTATTCATCAATAATAACTTGTTATTCATTCCTCATAGTTGAAGCATCGTCCAATAAGCACATCATCTGTTATTCATCAATAACAACTTGTTATTCATTACTTAAAATAAGATACTCATCGTAAAATCTTAACAAGATAATACACCATCTGCCAAAAAATAACAATGAAATTCTTGTTCATTAGTAACCATATATTACGCATTACCTTACGCATGTATATTCACCAATAAAATGAATACATTCTACATCATTCATCTTTCAATAATTGCATAACATTATTCATTGTCTAAACGTTGGTTATTCATTATTGAGAAAATACACACTGATTCTCCATATTCATAAATCTCAATGATTAAACTATAGTAAAGTTTACTAAAATTAAATCCATCGTTATAAAAAATTATCTCATAAAATAAAATAATATAAAAGCTAACATGATAAGCAAATAAAAAAAAAATTTAAAATTAATCGGGTGCCAAAAAAAAATGGATAAGATCAGGGAGTTAAATGCCAAAAAAAAGGATAAGATTAGGGGACTAAATGCCAAAAAAGGAGGGATAAAATTAGGTAATTAAATGTGCGTGTGGACTCCTTTTATCCGGGCTCAAAAATTCCAATTTCTTTTCCCTTGTGTGTGATTCACGCACTGCCTAGTTACACCTTACAAGGTGTCCCTAGGATCTTAATATTATTTGCCTCTCTTAATATGTATCAACATGTTAATAATTCAATACATAGAAATTTTTTTTATGGTTAACTCTAAAAAAAATAAAATAATATACTTGAAAAAAATAAAGATATAGTTAAGTAAGATTGCAATTAATTCATGATTAATGATTTATGAAAATTATTTGGCCACTTGTATAATCGAAAAGGGTATAATCAACCTATTTCTTTTCCCCCTTAAAAACACTTCATATTCAAATTTGAATTATGATTATATGAAAGTTGATAAATCAGGTCATCTCCTCTGCATAAATCGGCTCACGCTTACTTTATGTAATGGCCTGTTTAATTTTAATGCAACATAAATTTCAGCGTGCATCATTGGACTGTTATTTCGAAACATGATTGAAGTTAGGCTCCAATCAGATATTATGCTATGAATTTAATCCGGCTCACGCTTACTTTATGTAATGGCCTGTTTAATTTTAATGCAACATAAATTTCAGCGTGCATCATTGGACTGTTATTTCGAAACATGATTGAAGTTAGGCTCCAATCAGATATTATGCTATGAATTTATAATGATTAAATCTTCAAAAATATATAGCCATAATCTTTTTTCTGCAGAACTCTATCCATTTCCTAGTGACTCATTTTTTAGGTCAAAAAAACTTTAATAAATTTTGTTGAAAATACGTCCAACCATGATTGATAAAGAATTATAACAACTAACATGTTACAATCAATTAGAATTCGAAATCTAAAATATTTTGTTATTTAACAGTTTTCACTCAATTTTTTTTTATTGGGTTCACAAATTATAAATTTTTTTTTTGTCATTTTTATCGAACAATCTGAAAACCTGGAGTACTGTATACACCATGCATGGATCCGGATCCATGGCCTTCTAGATGGATCCTCTCTCATGATTTGTACTTCCAGTCCGTGATACAAATAATGACTATTGCAAATGAAATGATATAGTGATTTGTGAATTACACAGATTTACAACAATTGATTAGTGAGTTCACTTATGAGACAGTTAAAATCGATACATTGAGATGCCTTAATCTGGTGTATATTATGACAATCTCTTTTTTTCCCGTTGAAAAGAAAGAAAACATAATAGATTTGAATGGATATAATATTGTTGGCAATTACGTCATCATGCTTAACTTTCATGTTAGTTATAAGTTATTACCCTTAAAATGTCATTATCAAAATAATTAGAACTTAAATATATTAAAAGAGGAAAAAATGTTCAAGAAAATGAAATTTGTACTACTTATGAAAACTCCATTCCATATATTTACGTGGACAATCTATCGCTATAAATTGAGTCAAAATGAACAGAGAAAACGAGCAAAAGATCTTTTACGTTCCTACATTATTCATCAAAATTTTGACGCACATGAAGAAGTACTCGGCTGGTTTTATGGGTTCTCTAATGGTGTTGTTCTGTAAGTATACATA